CAAAGAAATGTAAATGGCAAGCCTTTTGCCAATTAATAAATAATTGCATTCATTTCTGTATCAAATATTAAATAAAATCGAGCTGTACTATATTCAATAGATTGCCATTTAATAGGTATATTAATTGCATGCAGTATGAACTGTTGAAATGAATCAAGCTGTAGTATATTTAGAAGATTTGGAGAATGCAAATATATTCAATATATTTTTTGTGAATAACAATTGCATTTCTCTGCCAGCAACATACAAGTAGAACGACTTTCTGACAATTGCCAAAACAAAATTGGACAAAACTCATTCAACGATTTTGATGAATGATACGAATATTGAAATAAAGCCATTTCACCAACATTGCCGCATTGTTAAAAATCTCGTTTCAATTTGAATTCATACGAATATATTGACTATTTATTTTGTAACAAGAATTTGCCAAATCTCTCCAAAGCTAGTCAAAATCTAATTTGGCAATCCCGCAGCTGCTGCAAAAAGCCGCACAGCATGCGGTCCATAACGACATGCATGCCCATATTTATGCACATTTTATATATGTATGTACATAGTCCTATGTATGTTTAGAATATTGCACACACACGCACACATACATGCTTGTATGTACATAAAATGCAATGTGAAGCTCTTTGTGGGATAAAATCCAATTTGTGCAATATATGAAAAGAAAAAAGGATGAAAAAAACAAATCCAAAACTAAAACTAAAACATTAGAACGAACACACACTCACTCTTACATAACCCTTCGGAGTAAGCTCTGTTTCCGTTCAAATGGCTTGTTGCGGAGCACATCTCAGATTCGCCTTAAAATGTTATAGCCAGAGATGCAAACGCAACGCTCACCACGTAGCCAACTTTCAAGCTGCATTTGCACTCCAAACAGATCCACTTGTGACTTTTGCGCATTTGCCGAGTTATGCAAAGTTGTTGGCATTCATGGTCGTGTTACATTGGATGCCAAGGCTGCTGCACAGTGTGGCCTTAAATGTGAAAAATTGCCAACAACAAAAAGTTAATTTCCAAGATGTTATCTAAAACATAGAGAAATATTTATATTTTAAATCTTTACATTAGTTAGATACAACAACTGTAAGAATTATACATTACCTGTTCCTGAAACAGTACATATATGGATTTGTTGTTATACATGGCCTTTCCTCTTAAGTCTATTTGTGTTCACTTGCTCTCCTGCGGTCTCATTTGATTGGAATTTATTTTCACTTTTATCAATTCATCATTCGAATATTCTCAATGTTATCAAATATATTTTCTAACAATTATCTACGATTTGCTTTTTTCGCTCTTGCAATTAATTCATTTGTTTGTAATTGAGTTCGAAATGTTCTTTTCACTCTTAAGTTTTGTTTTTGTTTCGATGGTAATGCAAAATTTTCTTTGCAAATACATTCATTTATACAATACTTTATTGCGATCTTTAGTGCGTTGAGATTTTGCATATGACCTTAATTTTTCAGAACACGCTTTGATTGGTTTTTAACCTTGTTTGTCTTCCATATTATTAAATACTTTAAAAGATTTGTCTGGTAAAACCGATTCATAATTAAAATAGGTTCGCTAAATATTGAAGATATTTAAGCAGTACTTACTCCTACCATCAATACTAAAGTCTATAAGCTATGTAGTGAAATATAACCATTATATTTTGTGGCCTTTAAATGCGTAACACATTTTTAAAATTTATTTTTTGTTTTGCTACTCCTGTTTATCACTTTTAATAATTTTATCAATCAAATGACTTGAAATAAGTGAGTATTTCTTTTCAGAAAAAATTAAATTCTATCTGAACAGAAGTTATACAAGCCACCAAGCAACAGTTTAATTGCGAAATGCTGAAAATTAATTTAAAAACCGTTTAAGAGTCTATGAAGAAATGTAGACTACACGAATTTTATGGTAATTTCTGCAACACTGTGCCATGCCTGCAGGTGACTGCATTTGGGTTTGAATATCCAATTTAGCTGTGCGCATTAAAAGCAATTCAATATCTATCTGTGGCGCCTAAGTTGGCTGCCAACTTCAGTGGCTGCGAACCTTGTGGTATGCAATGACAGCTTATAAGCCAACACGTGCGATGGTCAGGTGTGCGAATGGGAATCCCTTTTGCCATCTCTTTTTTCAATATACACACATATATATATATACAATATGCCGATTTGTGCATGGGTTTATACACATATATCGCATAACATTTGTAACACTTTGTTATTTGTTGGCAAATTGATTTGCCGATTGACGCTTGTCAAATTTCTGGTTTATTTTAGTTCGAGAGGCACTTTTGTTTTTTGTCTGACAACCAAACGAATATTTAATGCCTGTGCCATCATTTTGCACAATATTTCCACATTTTCCAAACTCTTAGACAATTTGCACTCATGTGCAAAATAAAGGTAACTGTCTGATGTCTCTTTGTAAATATTGTTGTGCGTTTCTCTGCTGGCACCACTCCAAATGATATTCGTGTGAGAAACAAAGTTGTTTAAATTTATGATTTTAAACTATTGCACTTGAAATTAGATTTTAATTATTAATAAGCTCTACCTTGAGTGGCCATTTTGTAACCTCTTGAACTGAACTTTTCAAGTGTATGCTAACGGCATAAAAACTTTTCTAATTAGGCGCTCAAAATTAAAAGGTTGTCATTAAGTTAGGTTGTATTGAAAACTAAATAATATAGTATACTTTTGAGGGCTGCGCTGACACCGAACTGAACTGTCAAGTTGATGATAATTTTCAAAGTTTTATAGCTCATGACAAATTCAAACCCTTGACAATATTATTTAGTTACAAAAAGAGGAAGATGTTCGTCTATAATATTATAAAAATTTGATTATAAGCATAAAAGTAGAGTAGAAAACACCAAGTAGGACGAGACACTGACTATCAGAAAATCCAAGAAAATTGTATAATATTTGCAAAGGATTTCAGCCTTGACTGACTTAGGTCAGACATTGAAGCTAAATGCTGTTAAGCGCTCGTTTCAGTTGAATGCCAAAAACAAAACCTAACATTTTTCTATTATTACGAATATTTTATGCCAGAGTTCATGCAAATTTTCAATTCATGGAAATTAAGCCATCATTAAAACACATTTCGTTGATATGTCAACAGCAATTTGTAATTTGTGTTTCTGATAATCATTAAATTTAATTAATATTCGCTGCGCTTAATAAGCATCATAAAATAATAATAAATCAAAACAATGCCATAGTAGTTTTGAGCCGTTTACGACATGTGCATTGAAACGTTAATTCCCAGAACAATTGTAAATTATTCAAATGTTCATGTTCGTGTCTTTGGTGAGCGTCGAAACGCACAAATTAGCACGCAATACATTTTCAAAAGCCACAAATCCATTATTTATGGCCCAAAATTTTAGACAGTTGGACAGCAAAAGCCACAAAACGCATTCGAACTTGTTAACATTTTCGTTGTGGAAATTGTGTGGAAATGAAAACATTTGTTGGCAAATACTCGTGGAAATGCTGTTAGTGGATGGGATATGATTAATGCAGTGCTTGAAAGAAAAACTTCCGCTTTGATGCCACAAAGCATATTTCGCTTTTTGACAGACCTGCCAACATTTGCTTTCAATGCAGCGTAAACAAAAACTTCAAATGGCCAGCAATGAAAAACTTGTACCAAATGCACTTAGCAAACTTTGCGATTTGTTCTTCTTTTTTCCTGTTTTCTTTGCATAAAAGAAGGGTGAAAATGAGCGACATAAACCGAAGAAAAACTTTCGCCGCTGCATGGCAGCAAACGACTTTAAAGGCAGCTGCCACATTAGTGTGCAGCCAAGTATGAGTGTTGGTGTGAGTTTGAAGGGAATCTTGTGCTTCGGTTCGCCGACTGGCGAGCAAATATGGCAAGAGGCAAAATTATGTAAGCATCAATAACTCTGTAATATTAGGCTATGTACAATGGTCAATTATAGAGCACCTCGAGCTTAGCCATCAAGTGAAATTGAAATGTGGAGCCACGCAGGAGAGCCTCACAGCTATTTACCTACTCATATATATAGCAGACGCTGGTACAGTTGTGCTCGAGTACAAACGGTCGCTGGAGACGGTGTAGCTTGTGGCAGTGTTGAAAAGCGTACTCGAGTGCATTGAGGACATGAGGGGATTATTACGTGCAGCGAAGAGAGTTAGGTCGAGAGAGATAGAGTCAGTTACTGAAATGTGTTTTAAATTACTGGCCTTTATGTGGCACGGAATAGCTGTCTGCATTGCAGTCAAAGAAACGTCTGCTTTAATAACAAATTGTAGATGCATATACACGGTAAGGGAAACTCTGCTACAGCGCAAACTTTGAAGTGCTGTAGGACGTCACACAAATAATTGCCATTCTATAAATACTTACATATGTATATTTATATCTTTAAAAATATTTCCAGCGCAGAATACACTTACAAAGGCATTTGCTTAAACAAATCGTTGTCAGATTATTTTCAATTCATTATGTCTACTCAGATTTGTACATTTTAGGGCAGTCTACTGTTCGAAAATACATCTCTTTTAAAAATAATGAGACAGTTCTGTTATTAAATAAATAAGAAATATTGGAGAAAACTATTAGAATGGAAAACTTAAAATATATCATCTGTAAAAAGACGAAAATTAAAATGCTTATTTGAGATATTTATAGAAATAAATAACGCATTACGATTTTAAGAAACATTTAATTTAATTTTAACATCTCTAAAATTCTTATTTATGTTTTATATATAAGTATGTAGTATGATTTCTAACGAATACTATAGCTTTTCTTTATAATGATTGTTAATATTAGAGCCTTCTGCTAATATGCATGTTGATGGTGAATACTATTTAATTTCATATAGAAATATTGCCAATTTGAATGAAATTTAAAGTAAACCTGAATTTTCAAACGGTAAGAATATATCAATATTATATATTCATCGCGTGGTTTTCATCTATACGCAGTTAGGATAGAAAAGTCTATCGGTATGTGGAGAGCTTATTATTTATTTAAAGAATTTTTATATTCGTCGATATAACCCAACCTTAGTGGTTATTAAGCCAATAATTTGACATTGCTTTCGTAGGCCTGTAGAGCCTCTAAAAATGTTTTATTTTGATTTGTTGTTACTTTCAATTTAGTTTCTTTAGTGTGCTGGCAAAGTAGCTACGACAGTTTTGTGCTTGTTCTGATGGCGGCTGCTATTTATGCCGAGGCAGTGACTCCCTCGAACGCTACTTGCGAGCCCAGAGAACCCTTTTTGGATGAACCGGCATCTGCATTGTCCTTGGGAGCCGCCCTCTTGCCGGCCAAGGCCAGTTCTGTTTCGGGTGGCATATTCATGTCGTCGCCCTCTTCTTCACCCTCCTCGCCGTCAAGGTGCTCCAGCACCGGCTCAGGAGGCAGCCAGCACGCGCCCTTGACAAGACGCTCCTCAATCGCATCAATTTCATTCTTATAGTATTGATTGAAGTCCGGACGATCCCAGATGCTCTTGACCCACTCCAGATTGAAGTCCATTTTGGCGCAGCAACAGAATTTGCGCGACTTGTGGCATTTCGGACACTTGGCCTGCTGGCGGGCTGGATGCACATAGGTGGACTTCTTCTTCTTCTTGCAGCAATAGGGGCAGACATGCTTGGGCTTGCGTTTGGTGCTGCATGGTGGCGGCTCCTTGGCATACACCAGATGTCCGCGTTTCTTGGCACAGAAGCAGCAGTTGCAGTCGTCGCCTTCCGGTTGACGCTTACGGGTCTGCATGCGATCGTAGAACTTCTTATAGACAATCTTGACCTTGGCCTCCACGGCCATCTGTTCATTGCAGGAGAGACCGTCGAAGCGCGCAAAGCTCTCGGCTGATTTGCGTGCGGCATGCACCCAAACGCACTCGTCATTGTAACTCGGTCGTCCCTGCTCATCGTAGGTTAGCTCCTGCTTGGGCTCGTAGTAGAAGGCCTTGAAGCCACGCTTCATGATCGAATAGGCCAAATGGGCCTCCACTTTGTTCATCAGCGACTTCTTGCCCAGCTCGTGGAATATATCCTCCTTCCTCAGTCGCTTCTTGGGCGTCGTGTCCAGACAATAGCACACTTGATCGTAATGCAGAAAGGCGTAGCTGATGATGTCTATCGTGGACCTGGCCTTGCATTCGTGCAATCCACATATCATCATGACCTGAGCCAACGTGTTGGCCAAGTCCAGCACATTCTCCAGGAATATGGACGAGGCATTCACCTCCCCCAGACACTTGCATTGCGTATGCTGATCGACGATTCCGAGCGGGGCATGGCGCTGGCATTCCTTGTGCTGGCAATTGTTGCGACAGCGGAAGTCGGGCATGGCATGGTGTGCCTGCATTTCTTACAAATTTGTAATTTTTTGCGAATTTTTCTTCTTAATTTTTAAAACATTGAATTTCATGAATGAAAAAACAGAAATGTGTAAATTTTTTTGTATTATTTTTTTTTTATTATTTATCTAGACAAGCCAAACAGTCAAATGTAAAACGAAATACTGAACATTTCCTAAAAATATGAAGTTAGGCGCAAAGGCATGTCTGTTTAATCGGATGAGTTGATTCTCTTTTATCGAATCAAGTGGCAATAAATTGAATCTATTATATTTTATTATATTTCTTTTAAGAACAAAATTCACTGTATTTGGAAGTTATTTAAAGTTAATAAAATCAAGTTTGTGGGAGTTGACTTGTGGAAAATTGGGTTAACTTATTTTATTTGTGAATTCAAGCTATTTGGATGTTTCTTCAAGTCTGACCTATTAGGGACACAATATCTGAAGATAAACTTGTAAGATTAAAAAAATTCAATGTAAACTCAAAAAGTTGCTCATCCCTTTAATGTATACTAAAAACCTTTTAATATTTAAAAGCCACAAGCCAGCAACCACCTCAGCATTCTTCCATCCTCATATTTGCATTTTATTGATTGATATACCAGTAGAGAGCAAAAATATTTGCTTTCTACATTGACTTGAACACAAGTATAAATTGTGGCTGCAACACTTATCAGCTCAACAAGTTTGTGAAGCATCGAACTTAAAAGATTCTCAAACAAGCTGCGATACATGCGTGGGTGTTGAAGTGTGTCTGCATATCATAAAATGTCTACAAGTCTACAAGTCAAATATTTGAGCTATGCTTTTAGCCCATGCCAAGCCACAAGTAAAGACAAGCGCTTTGCCACAGCTATAAATATGCAATATTTTGAATATAAGCATGAATATAGTATAGGGTTCATGCACAATTTTTCGCAACATTTTCCCATTGGGTGATAAGGGCTATTGTTAATTGGATGGATTGCTGAATTGTGACACGCTAAGAGCTCTGGCCTGCCATGCAAAATTGAGTTGTCAACATAGAGACATAAACTAATGGCATACGAGTATATGAAAATGTCAGCAAATAGAAAATGCCATTCCCGGGGGATAGGGTAGAGCGCTTCGCAATATCTGTTGCTTAGACGTCAGCATTGGTTACTTAAGCTTAAACAAATACATCAATGTTGAGTTTATTAAGCATGCGTTGTGTCAACAGGCGCCACAATATCCGTTTCCGTTGACAAGTTGCAAACAGGGGAAAACATAATAAAATATATGGAAAGAAAAAACAATATAAAATATTTACAAAAATAACAGAAACAGAAATGACAAACAGAATCAAAGACATTGCCTTGAAGTTAGCAGGGCGTACACTCAGAGAAAAATAAGATACTCTCCAAAACAAGTAGCATTTCTTACATTATTTATATTTCAATAATTTTAAGCAACAACAATAATTTTTGCAAACTATTTTAAATAGTATTATAAACATTTTTAAAATTGATAAAAATATATGAACATGTAATATTTAAGTAAATACTTAGATCTGTTTCCATTTTTTCTAAACATAAATGGGTTAATTCGCCTTTTGCATGTCTATAAAATCCATTGCGTTAGGTTTACTCTTAAATATCTTACCTGGCTTGCCTTCCTTTTATAGCCCCTCCACTCGGTGAAAGGCCAATCATAACTCTGTCTGCTTTGTGTGGTAACTGATACGAAAAAGAGGGAGATATCCTCCACTTCAGATGCTAAAATCAAATGTCGGAACATCTGTAAATATCCGACTTTTTACATATTAACTAATTTTCTATCTATTTATCTATATTCCTGCACTCTAAATACCTTTATTTCATCCATCCACTATAGTATGAGTGTTACGAAGAGATTATTAGAGCACATTTTTCCTGCAAATAACATAATAACCATTAACATCAAATCTACTAATGTATAGTCTGTATATCTAGTTATTGTAGCCAGTCGTTTAGTCACAACTTTCGGGTCTCCCTTAATTATGTAAAACAATAGATTTTGACAAATCTCTCACTCAAGGACCTGGAGCTTTTATTTACTCCTCTTTGCTCTTTACTCTTTGCTATATAATTAATTTATTATATTTCCTAAAATGTAATTCTCTGAGTGTAGCTTCGGTGGCACGTCGCCAAGAAATGCTTGGTCACCATTAACAGCAGCGATTGCCACCCTCCTCGCATTCGTTCCTCCACCTGGGCACCAGCACAGAAATGAGCAATATAGCTGCCATTACTCATGTAGTTGGAAAATATTCGCTATGTCGCTCAGTATTTAGTTTGTCAAATAAAATAACGGGTCGAGCAAAGGCAATGAAGCTCCTGCTGACCAACACACTCACTCACTCACTTAAAAAGCCGAGCCACCACACCACAGACTGGGAAAGTAGCCTCGAAGGTTGGCAACAATGTGGTCCATAAAATAAATGCCTTGGGTTGCGGTTGCTGCGTCGAGAACATAAATAAATCTCATAAATCGTGCCCTGACTTGAGTTTTTATTTTAAAATGTTTCCATTTGGCAAATGTTCCTTATTGGCACTCCGCCATTCCCGCTCTCTTCTCTGTTTCTCTCTCCCTCTTCAATATGTTTCTGTTGGCAGTTTATTAGTTTGAATGAAAGGAACGTAGGTGTTTATTGGTTGAATTCATAAGGCGAACTGCGCGCGATTTTCACATACAATCGACGCGCATCTTATCGATAGATTACAATATATATCAAACTTAGTATGACAGGGTTGCTTAGTGCAAATTCAAATTAACTGACATTTATGTTGCTTATAATTCCAAATATTTCAACACCTCATCTCAACAAAAATGTAACTTTAAGCCTGTCATGTTTAACAACTTCATATGTTTTTGCTTACTTAAATTTTTAGTACAAATATCTGCTATCATATTTGTTGTATCAACATACTTTAAAATAATTTCATTGTTATTAACTAATTCTCTGATGAAATGGTATCGTATGTCGATGTGCTTGCTTCTTGCGTGGTACATGTGATTCTTGGCCAAGTGTTGCGCGCTGAGATTGTCGCCATATACACATATCGGTTGATCGGTTTGGAAACAGTTGAGCTCATTCAAAAGACGTCTGAGATACACCGCCTCTTTAGCCGCTGCTGCCAACGCCATGTACTCCGCTTCAGTAGTACTTAGAGCCACAGTCGTTTGTTTATGTGACTCCCACGAAAATGCCGCTCCAGCAAGGAAAAACATATAACCTGTGAAAGATTTACGATCAATCAAATTACCACCCCAATCTGCATCAGCGTGGCCTTCCATGGGTCTTCCTGTCAAATGGTAATGTAACTTCATGTTCTTCGTGCTTGACAAATAACGAAGAACGTGTTTTGCTCCTACTTCGTGCTCGACAGTTGGATTTTTGTTCATCTGGGATAGCTTGCACACCGAGTGCAGTATGTCGGGTCGCGTGGATATCGCTATATACATCAGGCTGCCAATTAACGCCTGATACTTCGTCGCATCCACCAGTTTTGAGTCGTCTAAAGGAGCTTTTATCTGGTATCCTGGTTCTAGTGGTGTTGCTGCTGCTCTACAGTTCTGCATATGGTATTGTTGCAACAACTCTTCAATGTATTTTGTTTGGCTCACAAACATCTCTCCAGTTTCTCCAATGCGCTCAACATCAAATCCCAGAAAGTTCTCTACTTTCCCTTTGTCGATGGACTTAAACTTTTTACCAATGTAGTTTTTGATGCTCTTCATGTCTTCTTTGCTTGTACTTGCGATTAGTATATCGTCCACGTAGACTGCAATAATGTTTAATTTGTTGTTCACCATTTTCGTATACAAGCATGGCTCGCTGGTACATGGAACACATCCATATTCTTTAAGAACCGCATCCAATTTCGCGTTCCATTCTCTGCCAGACTGCTTTAACCCGTAGATAGTTTTATTTAGTTTTGCTACTTTATTTGGATATTCTTTGCTTATGAACATATCCGGTTGTTTCATATAGATTTCGTCGCTCAGCTCACCGTTTAAATAAGCTGTACATACATCCATTTGATGCAGATGTAATTTCAGTTCCGCCGCCAGAGCAAATACCATGCGTATTGTCGCATAACGTACAACAGGTGAATAGGTCTCTTCGTAGTTGATTCCATATTGCTGGCTGCAACCTTTTGCAACTAGTCTTGCCTTATATCGATCGATGTTGCCGTTAGGTGCTCTTTTTAAACTGTACACCCATTTGCTGCCTATAGCTCTCTTGCCAGGAGGAAGGTCCACCAGTGACCACGTTTGGTTCTCTTTTAGTGAATTATATTCTTGTTGCATTGCTTTCCTCCATTTATCCGATTCGTTGCAAGTCATCGCCGATTTACAATTTGTAGGTATTTGTACCTCATCTATTTCCTGTATGACATTAAGCCTGTGCTTTTGCTTTGCCGGTCTACCGCTTGTGCCAGTTCGAATGATACGTGGTCGCCCTGGACCATACCTTGGAGTGTCGATGCCCTGGTTGCTTGCATCTACCATTGTATCATCCTGGTCTTCATTCTGTGAATCTTCTTCTGATGGAGTTTCATCTTCTTCATCCGACTGGATAAACTCTTCAGCATCTTCATAGTCTGTTTGTGGGGAGGGAGTGCGTGGTGGTTTTTCCATAATTTCTGACCCATTTTCTCGCCCAATTATGTAAGAAAAATCAATGTTATTTTTGTTTCCCATAAATAAATCTTCATCAAACTTTACATCTCGCTTTATTACCACCGTGTTTAGTTCTGGATCATATAACCTATATCCCTTTACTTGACTGCTATACCCCATAAATATGTATTCTTTGCCCCTGGCCTTGAATTTCCCTTTCTGTGTCTTATCTAGCCCAATTGCTAAACATCCGAAAGTTCTAAAATGTTTCACCCCTGGTTTCCGACCATACCACATTTCAAAAGGTGTAGTATTTTCTAACGCTTTTGTTGAAGACCGATTTTTAATATATGCTGCACAATTAATTGCTTCAGCCCAAAACTTTTCTTCTAATCCTGCATGTATCATCATTGACCTAGCCATTTCTACAATTGTTCGATTGTACCGCTCGGAAACACCATTTTGTTGGGGAGTATGAGGCACTGTAAGTTGTCTTTTTATA